AGGGAGGAGGGAAAGAACGAAGGAAGGAAGGAAGGGAAGAAGGAAGGAAGGGAGGAGGGAAGGAAGGAAGGAAGGAAGGAAGGAAGGAAGGAAGGGAGGAAGGATGAAAAGAAGGGAGGGAGGAAGGGAGGAAGGGAGGAAGGGAGGGAGGAAGGAAGGAAGGAAGGAAGGAAGGAAGGAAGGAAGGAAGGAAGGAAGGAAGGAAGGAAGGAAGGAAGGAAGGAAGGAAGGAAGGAAGGAAGAAAGGGAAAGGGAAAGGAAGAGAAGGGGAGGGAGGGAGCTTGATTCCTGCTTGCTGTGTACCAGGTACTATGCTAAGCTCTGGGGAAACAAGGAAAAATCCTCACACTCAGAATTCACACTCTAACAAGGGAGACAACAGGTCTAAAGACAGGGATGCGCCTACAAAGTAGATACAAGGCAAAGACTGAAACCAGTGAAGAGGCAGGAGAGAGTCTGACATGGAGTGACTTAGGAAAGGGAACAGAAGCGCAGAAAGAAAGAACAGAAGATGGGGAGGAGAGAGCGAGAGAATCATCGTGATCACGGTAATGGACACAGCACTATAGAGACAATGGCAAGAAGAATCCGCATTTTATCGTGTGGTGGAATGTAAGCTCCTTGAAGGCAGGCGCTGCTTCCTTTTTGTCTTTGCATCTCACTGTGCCAGTGTGCAGTAGGTGCTTCATAAACACTTGTTGCTTGGTTTGATCTCCTAACTTTGGTGCTGCACGTATCATTACGTCCATTTTTACAGGTGAGGAAATGGTTCGGGAAGGAAGTGAGTGTTAGCGGGAGAATCAAGGTCCAAGGCTAGGCAGAATCGTCCTTGACTACCCGCTACCCGGCCCCCTCAGGGACAAAGCAAAGTGGGCTGGCTGGGGGGTCCTGGTATTATCACACACACACACACACACACACACAGAGAAATAAGCATATGCTTGCAAACACACATAAATGCATGCTTACACATAAATATATACACAAACATGTACACACAAATGTACACATACACATAAACACAAATATCTACCCACACCACACATACATATAAACACACAAGTACACACATACAAATACACAATACACAAAGAAATCCATGTAAACACACAGAAATACATATCTACACATACATAAACACACAAACACATATAAACACATACACACAATACATATAAACGCAAGTACACACATACAAATACACCATATACACATAAACATATAAACACATGCATAGATACACACATGCATATATAAACACACATATACACATGAATATATACAAATACACATACGTACTTATATACATACACATAGATATAAATATACGCATAGGTATAAACATACATACACACATGTAAATACACACATGGATGCACACATACATATAGACATGCATACAAACCCGCGTCCATACCTGCACACAAATACACACATACACATACACAGGCATGCTCAGAATGATGACCAGCAGCTGGGCGAGCAGGAAAGCTAGACCGCCCAGGTGTGTTTCTCCCGTGTGTGGCCCGGGCCCTACTTCCCAAACCTAGCTGCACACATGTGCCCCCGGCCCACAAGCCCGGGGCCTGCCCCCAGCCCAGCCTCCACTGGCCGGGCTAGGAAGGCAGCCGAGCATGGAAGCACCAGGAACAGCCCCGAGCCACCTGTGCGCTGGTTCCCAGAAACCAGCGAGGCAGAGCCGGCCTTGGCCAGACAGACACAAAAGGGGCTGCGCCCCGGGCCGGGGAGCAGGGAGCCAGAAGATGAGGGTTCAAGCTCCCGCTTCCCTCCTGCGTGACCTTGGGCAAGCTGCCTGCCCTCTCTGGGCCTCAGTTTCCCCCTCCGTCAAATGAGAAACTAGGGGATCTCAGAGATCTCTCCCAGCTCCGAATCCTGACAAGACGGAGGAATGTGGTGGCACTCAGGCTTGGGGTCCTAAGCTCAGCCCAAGAGGTATCCTCAGCAACCACGGCTCTTGACCCCCCTCTCTCCCACCCCCAAAGTGGAAGGCCGATTAGCAAGACCAAACGACTCTCGGCCCCGCCCCCACTTTTCCCCTCCCCAGGGGTTCTCCTGGCCTGAACCAAGTAGCCCCTACTCCAGGGGCATTCCTGGAGAGCAGTGAAGCAGAGTGTGTGTGTGTGTGTGTGTGTGTGTGTGGGTGTGTGTGTGTGTGTGTGTGGGTGTGTGTGTGAAGCCCAAGCACCGGGCCAGCCCCCAGCCCGCAAAGGAGGAAGACCTGGGATACTGAGGGAGGGAAGGGTTCGAGGATGCAAACCACAAGCAGCGTGGACAGGGCCAGTAATCGACCCATGTGCAAAGCGAGCGAGCGTATACGTAAATGAGATGCAGATCAGACGTGGAATGTTGTGCCCCAAAACGGTTCTGTGTCAGCAACTCCCATGAATGTCCACTGCCTGGTGGGACTGAAGGACCCAGGACTGGGGAGTCAGGAGACCTGGGTTCCAGGCCCAGCTTTGTGACTGCCTTGCCTGTGACCTTGGCCAAGTGTTCTCACCAAGCCGAAGCTTTTTAGTTGGGGCTTTTTGTTAATTTTTAAAATTTTCAAAATAAAAGGATTGGACTAACAGAGGCCTTCCATTGATTCTAACTGCAGTGTTCCCTCGAGGCCCCTCCCAGCCCTGACAACCCCTGTTCTGAGGCCCCTCCCACCTCTGACATCCCCTGTTCTGAGGCCCCTCCCAGCTCTGATAGTCTATATTCTATGGTCTAAAGGCCCTTCTGGCTCTGAAGGTCTGTAAGTCTTTGTGAAGCTGCCAGCTACAGAGACAAGCTGAGGGCCGGGGCCTCTTGGACCCCTCCCAGACCCCAGGAGCACACAGGTCTCATTCAGGTTGGAGGCAGACCTGGACAGGGTGGGCAGCAGGCAGCCAGGAGGTGCCAGGGGGAGCTCACAAAGCCAAGCCTGTTCTTGGCGATGGGAGGACCATCCCTCGAAAGCCACATGGCAGTCGTTAGGGCTGGGTGGGTTCAGGGGGAGCCAAGAAAACAACACAAGGAAGAGGGCTCAGGGCATCTCTCAGCGCTAACCGGCCAGCTTCCCAGCAGCCAGTCAGGCTCTAGGCGCCAGCTCCTTCCCAAGTTCAGCCCCTCAGAGAGCTGTGGCCCAACAGAGCCAGGAGAGAGGTGCTCCTGCCTCAGGTCACCAGCTGGGCCTTCCAGTGGGTCAACAACTCCCCCAGTCAAAGGATGTCTGGGAAGTCATGAAAACATGTCCCTGCCTTTTCCCAATCTCCCCAGATGCTCGAGCGTCCCCCTCTCAGACCTTCTTCCACCTACACTTTATACCTCTTCTATTATTTACACCTGGTCTCCCCCATTAGAACATAAGCTCCTGGAGGGCAGGGGCTGGTTTTGATTTTCTTAGTATACCTTGGATTTAGCATAGAGTCTGGTATACAGCAAGGCTTTAATAAATGCTTGTTGCCCAGGAATGGAGGAAGAGGCCTGGGGGAGGAGCCCCAGGAAGGCGGGGTCACTGCATCCCAGAGTCTGGGGAATGGGAGGTGGAGGAGACCAGAAAGGCTGGGGGTGGGAGGCAAAGCTTAGGGAGGACTTGACCCTATATCTGATCCTGACAGGGAGCTCCTGGAGTTTATTTAATAAGTGGGTGGGGATGGGAGGGGATGACACATTCAGACCTGAGCTTTAGGAAAATCACTTTGTAGCTGAGTGCAAGATAGGAGGAGGGACAGTAGGGAGAGACTTGAAGCAGGCAGACCAAGCAGTAGTATTGCAAAGACAATGAAGGGAGGAAGAAAGGAAGGAGGGAGGAAAGGAGGAAGGAAGGAGAGAGGGAAGGAAGGAGAGAGGGAGGGAAGGAAGGAAGGAAAGAAGGAAGGAAGGAAGGAAGGAAGGAAGGAAGGAAGGAAGGAAGGAAGGAAGGAAGGAAGGAAAGAAGGAAGGAAGGAAGGAAGGAAGGAAGGA